TCAACTTCAGGCCAACTGCACATCATCGGGACGTAGAACAGCGCAGGTAACCTTCTAGCCTACCCTCCCCGACCCCCCAGCGATCTAACACTTACCCCCAGGCATCGAAGGCCAAGAAAACGGCTTCGGAACCAACGACTTCTGTTTCGCCGGCACCTCCACCGGCACCGGCAGATTTAACGACTAGAAAAACAACGATTTCTGCGACTTGGAAATTCCCGGTTGTCCCTCTACCATGCGCATTATCAGGTCTGCAGGCAGTTTTACTGGCGACTGCGGAGCGGCGACGAATGACGCGGATAGTGACCATTCGGTCGACTATGGGGTGCTGATTGATACCGTCTCGTATCCGAATGCGGCGGTCGGTAATTGCTATTATGGAAGCGCGCAGCTGAAGAAGGACTGTACGAGTACGGGGAGTATGACGTATCAGGCGGCTGTTGTTTGTCTGACGGGGGTTTGTGGAGGGCCGCTGGAGAGTGACTTTGAGCCTGGGGCTTGAGAGGGTGGGCGAGGCCGTGTTGGCTTGGAGAGGAGAGGTGAGCTGGGCGGTAGCTCATGATGGTGGCTCGTTGCGACGAATCCTGGACCCTGTTCACTTTTGTTTGTAGTCAGCTTGCCCTGGCAATTGATGGAATGACAGGAGAAACGACGATGTGGACAACTGCCTGACGACGACATTGACCTTAATAGGTAATGTAGGGTAGAAGTAATAACTACCCGGCGACGACATAGATCTTAATATGTGACATCGGGTAGATACGGCGATTATGTGGCTGCCACGCCCACCTTAAAGTCTCGGATCGCAAAAGTGCGTTTGCGTACGAGATGGTTGTGTATTGCGGGAGTCGTGAGCGACTCGTGCCGCTGGAAGTAGAGGTTCAGCTGTATTCTGTCTCTTCGAGGGATGAAACTCCCGTCGTCCAGATTGAATAACTATAGTCGACATACTGTAGCGCTCTCAACAGTGTGGAGAGGATACGCCACTGCCTACCAATCGCTAGAGTCACAATATGTGACCCAAGTCTCAGGTGTTGCACGCCTGCGGCCGCGTATCATCGAAGAGTCCGGAATCTTGCTCCATTGTTGAGGAGAGAAGGGCGCTGTAGCTTGTCTCGAAAGACATCTGGAAGAAGAAATGCTATAAACTAAGGAGACCATAGATATAGTAGCAATGCCTAAACTCCCGAGATAGTCACCGGAGGCAACTAAATCGGATGAGTAGTGGTCGCTTGTTCACCGTGCTCACTTAAGAGCAATGGCTAACGGGGCCTCGACGTCTCCGCTAGGAGCTGCTGAGGTGCAGGTAAACTTGACCTGCGCAAGGATGAAGAAGAAAGACTATAACTAAGGTGACCTTAGATATAGTAACAACGACTAAACGACCTGTATAGTCACCAGAGGCAACTATGCCGGAGGAGTAGAGGTTGGTTTGTCGGCCCTGCTCACTTAAGAGCAATGGCTAACGGGTGTATATCTCGACGTAGAGATAGGGTGCAGGTATACTTGACCTGCGCAAGGACCGCAAATCTCCAGCTACCGAGGGTCGGCTTGCACACTAGGTGTGCGTTGAACTGGGAAGTTTGCGGTGCAGAGCAAAAGAGCGACAACCGAAAAGTTGTATATCGCGGGTAGGCGCTAGCCAACGCTAGCCAGCGCACGGACGGATAGCGTAGCGATGAGGTGAGAAATCCCAAACCGTCTTTGGTGTTCTGCTGCTGCTATCAATGAAGATCGTCTGGAGGCGTCAAATGTCAGGCGTCTTCGTCGCTCGAGGCAGAAAGTTGTATGTAAACTGAAGTAGCTTGGAACGTGCGCAGCAGCGTTACGATAAAGCTACAATTAGAGTGTGGCGCCAACGCCTCCACAGCCACGGCCCCAGCCGCAAGCACGCACCACCGATCTGCTTACGTACCACTCCGTGATCTCGTTCAGGGAGAGTGCGGGTTGCCTGCCGTACAGCGTTGCCGTCATTGCTCGCAGGAGGACGCACTACGATTGAATTTCAGAGCCGTCGCATGCGTTCCTACGACAAAGGCAATGTTTCCTGAGATGAACGAGCGCGTGGAGACCTGCGACGTCAGGCCGTTCGTGCTGTTGATGGTGGTGTCAGATGGCGAAGGGTGTCTGGACTGGGTCAACTTCGGAGCTGGGTATGTTTCACCAAAAGAAAAAAAACGCTTGACCGCTGAGCGTTGTACGAAAATGCCGCGTGGAGGATTGATTCATGCATGTCACTCTCATTTCGGTGTCTGGTGTGATGTCTGCGTCCTGGTGCGCTGTGGCAGGCGGCTGCCTTCGTCGGGTTGTCGATGTTTACTGAACAATCCAGCATGTTTGTTACAGATATGCAGCCAGATATCTGAAAATTCGATGTCTACGACATAATGTGGATACTTTGAGTCAGTGGGTTGTCTGCAGCCTTGCTGTTCCTGTCGATACACAAGCTTCCCGCCCCTTGCTTCACCAGGTAGTGGGGAATGCCAAGCGGATCTCGAACCACGCTACCAAAAGTTCCGCGAAGCCTGACGTGGTCTGTGAAGAACGGGGTCGTGTTTGGTGAGGCGGCTCGATGGCACCGATCTCTTTGTGCTGGTGCACGTTTGCAACTTCAATATACTAAGAACTGTGATGGCGACGATCACAACCAGAAGCGCTGTGACTCCATTGTGGTGTTGGGTTGTTTCTTCCACCACTCAAGTGCAATGTTTTCGCGCTGGGACATGCCCGCCCGCAACTTCACCAGATGTACCATCGTGGTCTCCTGCCATCGATCTGTGTGAGCGTTGCGAGGACACAACGTATGTCGCAGCCGTTACTACTTGCTTTGGGTGTAGAACACGGGATTTCTGGACATGACAGCTGTATCCGCAACCTTCTTCCAACCAAAAACACTTGACATGCTGCAGATTAGGCTTAGCTTCCACGCCTACGCTGTTCTCCATGCTGTGCGCACAAACACCTCCCATTGGAGGAACTTCCAGGTCACCTCTTTGAAACGCATCGCTCTTGGCGTAAAAGGCGAAACGGGTAGAGACCGCGCGGATCACGATTCGCGAATCCAAGGACTGTTTCAAACAGATGAGCATAATCGCCAAGCACAAAGCCCACGAGGGTAGGCGGAGCCGTGTGGGTTCAATCTATATGCGATTTCGCCAAACCTGCAAGTTTCCGCAGTTGTCCCGACGGCAGGCATTCAGAAGATGTCGGAACAGATCCGTGGATGGTATAAGATGCAGCGGGAGACGCACCCAAAAATCCGTACTCACCATCGAGCCAACAACAGTCTTTTACAGTCTTTCAGCTTTCTCATCTTCTTTCAATCCTTTGCTCGACGCATTACATTCGCTAGCCGAACCCAACGTCCTTCTCTTCATTCCAACAAGCTTCCAGCTCTCCAGCTTTTCCAACTCCAACCTTTTCAACTATCAACATGAAGGCCTCCGTCGCTGCTGCCATCGTGGCTTTCGCCGTCGCCGTCTCCGCCGGTCCCAGCAAGCCTTCTCCCATGAACTTCTTCAACGTGAACAAGCGGGCGAGCTTGCCTATCCCGGCCTCCAAGGGCTCCCAGACGCTCAAGGAAGCCATGGAGATCACTGGCACCTTTGACGGTGGTCTTAAGACCTATGGTCGTGGCGTGTCTTGCACTGGCCAAGCCGAAGGCGGAGATTCTGACGCGGTCTTTATCCTAAAGGTATGTCACGGCTGTAGGAAGTGCATGTGAGACATATACTGACTTCGTACTTCCACCTCTGCAGGATGGCGCTACTTTGAAGAACGCGATTATCGGAGAGGACCAGATCGAGGGTGTCCACTGCGAGGGCAGCTGCACCATCGAGAACGTTTGGTGGGCTGCTGTCTGCGAGGACGCGCTTTCTCTCAAGAAAGATGGTGACGCAACTGGTAAGAGGTGTTTGTACATACTTCCGGACTGAACTAACGCCTTCTAGTGATTGGTGGAGGAGCTACCGGCGCTGAAGATAAGGTCATTCAGCAGAACGGCGCTGGAACTGTCACTATCGACGGCTTCACCGTTGACACCTTCGGCAAGCTATACCGCTCCTGCGGTAACTGCAAGCAGTCCGCCGAGCGCCACGTCATCATGAAGAACGTCAAGGCCTCCAACGGCAAGCTCCTTGCTGGCATCAACCCTAACTTCGGAGACTCCGCCACCATCGACGCTACCAACTGCGCCAGCTCCGTCAAGGTCATCTGCGAGGAGTTCAAGGGTGTTGCTTCTGGCAGCGAGCCAGAGAGCGTTTCCGAGGGCCCCTCCGACTCCTGCATCTACAAGGAGCCTCTCTCTTCTTGCTAGGCTGCCTCGAACAAGACTTGAACAACATGTGGAGGAAGAATCGGCGGGCATCGGTGAATTTCATTGGATGGTGGGGATGCAGTGCATCCATTGTGCTCGCTCTGGAAGCATTGTACATACATTGACTTCTTTCTTGTATATATTGGCGACATAGAGTTGCGCGAATCGAGAAGGTTGCTTTACGAATATCTTGATGACAAGTGATCCTGATCGTATGGGTGTGGTGTGGATTCCGGAAGGCGTGAACCGCGCGCAATACCGTAAGGGAGGATGTGATTCGTGTCGCGCTCTACGAAGATGTAGTTAAAAGCATCACCAAGGTAGACGCATACATAACCTTGAGGCCTGTCTAGTTGCTAGGATTTAATGGCGTGTATGCAGCAAACGGCAAGAATTCTAGCCTCCCCGGCCCCTGATGCTGATGACGTGGGCGGGCGCTAATCCCAATGGGGCGACACGCGACACGCGACACGCGACACGCGACACCTCGAAGAATGAGCACTTGCGAAGAGATCATACCACAAAGGTGCATTATATCCACTACTTGTTGACATATCGACAGTACTTTTAACCGCAGTGTAGAGCTGTGCCGACGTCATTACCACCTCTTCGTGTAACATGCCTTCTCCCTCTTCTCTCATCCAATCTTCGTCTCTAGATCGTCACCAACCGTCAAAATAGCCAACTACTCCTCCGCGAAATCGCTCTCCTCTAGTCTGACGCCGTCTAGCACCTTACCCATGTGCGTCTTCTCCACACCCTCTCCTCCGCGCCGAATCCTCAAAAGCAACGCTCGCAAGAAGGGAACAGGAGACTTCTTCAAACCCCAGATACCGGAGGGTGGATCAATAAAGCCGTCAGCATAGACTTGCTGGCCGTCCTTCGCAGTACCCGTGAGAAGACCAAGATGATCGCAGACTTTGGTGTACTCCGACAACGACCGCAGATACAGGCTCCCGGCAAACAGGTTCAGCTGAATCGTCAAGCTGCGCGGGACGGAACCAGGCGAAAAGACACGACCGACGGTGTATAGTGTGAGCTCGTCGAGTGACGCATAACTGACGTTTGAACGTGGCGCAAAGATGTGCAGGCTAATTGTCTTTGACTGACGAAGTTGAGGTAGCAACTGGTTTGCTTCCCAGGGACTGATGATAATCAGGTTGCTGATAACTCCAGGGCGATGCCGACTTGGCACCGACAAGATGAACTGCACAGGGCGCTGATACGAGTCGGATTTGAAAGATGCACGAGTTGATCCCAGAGGTACTTCCACAGTGCGGATGAAGTCCCTTGTGACCAACAAGTCGTCCGGGAACTTACTCAAATCCGTGAGCCTGCCAGCGATCGTGTCGTCGAGGCCTTTGAAGGCCGGTTTCCATGCTTTTGAACCAATGTCAATTTTTCCTGTGTCGACGAGGCGCTTGAGGTCTTGGTGCAAGTTGTGTGGATGAGCCTTCAGGCGCGATGGGCGCTCGATTTGGCGCTCCTCTTCGATCTCCGGGGCGAGTTCGCGTTCCTGCTCCTCTGATAGCGCAGCTGAGCCAAAGCCCATGGCTTCGAAGTCGCGACATCGCGATACGATCTTGCTGACGCTCTGGTTGGACATGTCCCAACGGGCAATGTGCGCGGAGCCATCCTTGTCTACTTTGCGTGGCATGTAACGAGTCTCCAGACTTGCAGCTTCTTTCTCAAGGAAAGCCTTTGCTTGTCTCTTAGTCGTGGCAGCACCGTCCACCAATAAATGCCTGTGACTCTCGAAACGGTTCCCTTGCACGGCCCAGAGTGGAAGCGTCCGTCTTAGGTCTGACCAAGTCTCGCCTATCGCCCACGCCAACACATCATGGACCTCGATCGTAGTACCAGTTGGCTTGCCATTTTGCTCCCAAATTTTCGTTTGAATCTCTCCTGGTACAACGAAGCACACTGACTGGCCATTCCCAAGCTTTCTCAGGCGCATAGCGGCCTGCGTAAGGCGATCCTTAGTCAGCTGGCTACCCAGCGTCAGTGCCGCTCGATAGTGTCGTGGCAGCCCGGGTATGTCTGTTCCGCGTGTATGGCTCTCGTCCAGATAGACGATGCACGAATCCAACATCTTCGCGTACGGAGAGGTCTGAAAGGACTCAACCTTGGATGTACGGTCGAGCACGGACAGCTCTTCGTTCTCGAAGTAGATTACCGCTAGAACGTCGTCGTCTCGCAGCTTCAGCCAGGTCTCAGCCACCTCTCGGTTGTTCATTTCAAGGATCGAAGCACCACAGTCCAGGAAAACTCTAATGTCGGGACTCAGCCGCTCGATGAAAGCAAGGAGGTGCTGACCATCCCTATCCGTACAACCAATCGTGCGGGCAGGTAAATTCGCGACAGAAGTCTCGTCCATCAACAGATACGACAGAACCCGAGCGTTGGTGTGTTGCTGACTAGGTAAATCGAGGTGATGCATGTTTAATGGCAGTAGATGCATGGTGTCGTTCGTGCCGGAGAAACCGGTTGTAGGATTCGGCTTTGGAGTGGCTAAATCCCATCCACTCGCGCTCAATTTCAGGGGGAATTGCTTCAGCTCTTTTGGAAAGACCAAATACGAGAGGTAATAATCAACAGCCTTCTTGGAATACCGCAGATAAGGGAAGACCTCCATGATACACTGATGACGGTCACGTAGACTGACGCCAGTAAGCTGTCTAAACGCCTTCGGTAGGCCTGAACACGCTGTGTGGACGAACTCGTCGTAGTGGATAACCGATTGATCGGAATGGACTACATGCGTGAGCGTGTCAAAGAGGTCGTCGTCTGACAGCCCCTCGTAGTACCAAGACAACAACGTGAGGATGATGATGACATCGGGATGAGCATACTCGCTCCTAGGTGAAGGAGAATCCTTGCTGCGGAAGGGAACAGCCAGACGCGTGCTTGGGGTGCGGAGCTTGTCGAGACCAAAGTTGACACGTGATCGCTTCATCGAAAAGATGAATTTTAGCACGCCTCCTGCGAACAGCCCGCGGAGGAGAAGGAGTGAGGGTTTGGTGGTAGCAGTCCAGAATTTGCTCTTTTCGACTGTGTGAATCTCATGTGTTTCAAGATCTTTCACCGAGATGTAACGCAGTATCGCTGCTTGCATGACGGAAGACTGCGAACGAGATGGACTTCCTACGCCGGACTCAACGACTCGGGTCGCAAGCAGACGCAGAATCAGATCAGCAGCATCAGATCGCAGGAATCTGATCCTGGGGTACCGCCCATCGCCATCACCCTGGATGTCAACCGCGTCAGGGTAGTCCTCTTTGACCTGCTTGGCCAGATTGGGAAGGAGCGCCAGAATATCCTGAATGATCAGCCATCGCTCCGGCGCGTATTCGACCGAGCTCTGGTTGCCCATCGTGTAGATGAGCTCAAATTTGGTTGAGAAGTTCTCGTCGCTCTCATCGATGCAGTCGCATGACACTTCATCGAACCATTTCTGTGTTGCCAGCATCGATTGCGCGGTTGCTAACTGGTTGGTGAGAACACATTCGATTGCCATCAACTTGAAAGACTGCAGAGGTAGAGGTACGAAGTCAGTATATTTCTCATATGCACTTAGTACAGCGAGGACTTACCAGGATGTGCTCTGGTTGTATCAGCAATACACCGCGCTCGCGAACGCACTCTTCGTAAATCTCTCGAATGGTGTTGGCATCTTGAGCGCTCAGTCGGATGTTGCGCGAGAAGGGCATCTGGTACACCTTTCGGTTCAATAACCCCCCTAGCTTGGCGACAAGCATATGTAGCATTTGTTGGCTTTGGGGTTTGGCGACGACTACTCGAACAAGCCTAGATGCTGATGTTAGTATGTACATTCCGGTTGTTGGAGATAAGATAATCTTACTTCTCTTTGTTGCCATGGAAAGCACCAAGGATAGGAAGAATGGTCGTGGACTTGCCACCGCCCATGAGCAACTGCAGCACGATGTTATCCCCATCCTTCGGCGATCGCATCTGGCTTGCAATATACTCCTGCTCTTTCCTAACAAGAATACCGCTCTCAGCCTCGATGAGAAGAGTCTCAGGGAACTCATTCACATCCCAGTTCTGATGACCGACATGGCCAAGCTCCTCCACGAGATCGATCGGCTTGTCGGATAGGCGGACCAGTCTCTGAGCGCGTTGCAAACTCGTGACGGCGAGTGCATACTGGATTATGGTTTCTTTCCAGGAAGGCGATAAAGTGTCAAACCGGTCTTTGTGCAGTTGACTAAGCCAGAATTTGGTACAGATCCGTGGTGACAGCTGCATTGCGTAAGCGACCTGACGGCTAAGTAGGCCGTTCAATGCGAATTGGAAATTCCCAAAGTGGGCCTGGCAGCTACTGAGATATCCTTCAAGCAGGGGTTGGGCGTTTGGAAGCAGTTCTTCGTGCGTGTTGTCGTTGTGCGAGTCGAGCGCCGAGCAACTTGACTGTAGATCCTCGACATATCGTCGCTCAGATGTTGAGTTGGCGTACATCATGAGTTTGGCACAGAGATCACCAAGCTTATCCTTCACCTGGACTTGCTTTTTAGGCGTGTGTTTCCCCACGATCGTCACCTTGGGCTCACAGGGAGCGATGAGGCCGGAGGCTGGAGGCGGAGTGGTAGCGAAAATGTCCGTCATGCTGTAATGACGTATATCATCGTTAAGACGGGAGTTCTTAATCGGCGGCAACGTAAGAAGGTAAGGCGATACAACCACGCTTGACGTAGCCTGTCGCGCCATAATCGTCGATAGATTATGAAGGTACTGCATGAATAGACGATTATTGAACCAATGCTGGAACTTGGACCGTACCGTTGTCATTGCTGTCGTGACGTTGAGATAGGTGCTGTACTCATCCGCGGATGGCACAGTAGGACTCCGAACTGGCCATTGTGATTGCAGATCGCTTATGAACTTCTGGATTGCATTGTTCTGCCGGGTCTCGAATAGAAGCAGTATCCTCGTGTGATGCTGTCGCTTGGTTTCTGCGCCTTGTCTTGGTAGTCTCGCTTCTTCAGACGTATCAAACGATTTGGACCTGTTCTGGAGGATGGCTCGGATCGTTGCCTCATGATACTCATGCCCTTCACCTAGCTGGAATGAACCAAGGGCTGGTGGTTGTACTGCTGAGAAGTCCTGTAGCCTGTAAAATGAAGCAAAAGCTTGGATAGCATCGACATCGGCTGTGTCGTTGAAGGAGATGGTGCCGAGCCACGTTGCCAAGTCGTATCGGTTGCAGTCAACTGCTGAGGCAGCCAGACTCTGTTGTAGAGAGCACCAATGCTGTTGCATGTGCTTCGATGCCGATAACAACCACTTCGAATCGTACCCCAGACTTCTGAGGTCAAAAGATCTCGATGCTCCGTTTACTGTATTGCTGCTGAAGTGCTTCCGGAGAAGCCCGCCTTTTAGGTTCGGTATAGGGCTGTGAAGGGAGAACTGATCTCGCAGAGTCATTTTAGCTGTAATGAGGGCATTTCGACCTCTCTGAGAAGTTCGGTGGGTGTCGCGGGCGGCATACTGAACGTCACGTAAAGAGGTAAAAAGCTCTGCGCCAAAACCGGCCACCTGATACGAAGCGGTTCGAGCTGCAGCCCGCTGATCCAAAAGAGTGTTTGAAGAAGACATCAACTTCTTTTGGGCTTGACCGATCATGTCGAAGACCTTGTATTCGTCTGGGTGAAACACTCGCATCTTAGCAGCTTGCCGCAGTAGGTCAGATACAAGGAGTCTGAAGGAAGCGTGTTGTGAGAGCGAGGGAAGGCTCACGTCCCACTTCGTGCTTTGCATCACTTTCAAATACTCCGGATAGAAGGTCCTCGCAGCTGAGAGACCCGCTATACGAAGTAGTAGATCGATTTCCTCTGGTGTGAGAAGAGTGCTCGACCTTACCGCTGCAGACTCGAGAATTGAAATAGCGGATTCACTTCCAGTATATCCAGTCAGAGGGTCGGGTAGGCAGTGAGAGGTTAGGGCGTGCAGGTAGCACAGTAGGAGACGACTGCGCAGACTTCCGTCGCCAGTAATCTGACCAAGAGTTTCGTCGATATGGTACGCACGAGTTCGAGATGCAGAGCTCTCTGCGATTGCGACTGAAGGGTATTGCACTTGAGACGCCTTGACGATTTGGAACGAGCCGTCCGGAATGAGAATGCTCCGCCGACCTTCCGCAGATCTCAACATCAGTCGGCTCTGCACTCCTACGAGTGCACCAATCGTCTGATCAGGGTCGACGAACATACCGCGAAACTGGCAAGAGCGCAAACATTCACTATTCTCGTCGAATTCGAACGAAATCTGAAGCCTCGGTAGCTCGATCTCAGCGCACGTATAGTCTGGGCCGAGAAGACGCATATGCATATGTAGCGGTTTCTCGAGTGGTGCCAACATCTTCGAAATGGTACGAGCGGTGCGGCTGCGAACATTAATCATCACCTTGTCCTTGTTGACTAGCCGCCATGACGTTCCGTGTCGTACAAGACGCCATCGTGTATCGTCGTCTTCAGTTGACCATGGAGAATACAACGGTCGAAACAAGACCTCTTGAGCGTGTGAATCGTACATGTGTACAGCATGCGTCACCAAGGACTCAGGTATCAGATCCCGAAACAGACGTGAAGGGAGCAAGTCGAGCCTCTTGCCATGTCCGATGGCACACAGTAGCATATCGCCCCCGTTTATGCCAAAATGAAGCTTGTATCCGAGATGCAGAGATTTGGCAGAGAACCTGAGTCCGGCTTCATTTGTTGGCATCACTTCTAGGGCTGATTTGCGGAAAAGTGGCGCATACATCGCATGCTGGGTATACTCAACGGGAAGATGGGCAAGAGGAAGACCATTCACGAGTAGCTCCCCCGTGAGTAAGTTGAAGTGTACGGGAAGGGAGCCCGAAATCGTACACAGCCACTGTGGCTGGTCCCTGTTGAGTGTACTCCAGGAGTTGCCTGAAGAGATCTCGAAGGCGGCCCAGCTGGTTTTGACAGCATCAGAGAGACCACTGCCGTCGGCGAGGATTGCGCTCCGTAACTTCGGGAAGATGCGGACCATGAGTGACCTCCACGACTCTAGCGTGATGCTAAACAGCTCAGGAAACTCGGATTGCGCGGTCGCATGATGCTCGTGTACCACGGTCGTCGATTGAAGCAGTATAGAAATTGCCGATTCATTCCGAAGAACAGTTCCGAAGTCAGCCTCTTCAACGTCATAGGTCGAGGTACACAACAGCGCTATTTCCGTAGCGCGGCTGCAAAGGTCTGTGCGCTGGCCGTCATCTGTTGAGGCAGCCACCCTCTGCTTCAACCGCCGTAGCCATCCCGAACAGGCGCTGCGTAAGCTCTCAAGGTAACGGAACGCGCGATATCGAACGTCCAAGGCATATGTCAAGCTCAGTACTCGCCGAGCGAGCAACGAGAATGTAGCCGCCGCCCGGAATGACTCCCAGTTCATTTGGATGCGACCCAGGTTACTCTCCAGTTGCTCAAGCATAGCATGTCCAAAGGCCGACTCGGTAAGAATGGAGTGACATGATCGCTCGCTTCCCTGACCTGGCGGGCCTGTCTGCTGTACAGCCTGGAGAATCATGCATTGCGTCTCGATTTTCGTCCAGTCGACCGATGGAATTGCGAGCTGAGCAAGGACGTTTGAGTAGATGATGTTGTGCCCCAAGGATAGCGTCCCTAGAGCCTTGTACTCATCAATCGAAAGATGTAGTGGGCAATCAGACAACCCGGCCTGTCCAAAGTGTTAGTGAGATTTGTCATATCGCATGGAGGATTGGTGAAATTATGAATGATGCCCTCACCATACCGTATCCTAGAGGTATTCGCTGTGCTATGCGCTGACGAACCAGCAACGAAACGTATGCGAATAGCTCCAGAGTACGCTACAGGTAGGCAATAATAAGAATAACATAAAAAAAGGCACGCCTGGGACTTACAATGACATTGTTGGGGTGACAGCCGTCTGGAGACGCGGGCGGTCGAGACATGAAGGGTTGAAGGGCCTTCGAGCGCTTCAGCATCGGGTACATGCACTTCTTGAGGACTTCCGATGTGCATCCTAATGTGTCGGTGGTGAAACAGCCGCTGGAGGTATCGTAGTAGGCGTATTGTAAAGCGCTGTCCAAGCAGACATCGTCTTCTTTTAGCAAAGCTACCGCTTTCTTCACATCTCGATGAGTAGTAGTGTGGCTCTTCGCTCCCGAAAGGGGAACAATGCGCCGTCCAGAATACCGAGAAGAGAGGTGACTAATGCCATGGTGTTTGTCAAGCGTACCTGAATATACCGGCACCTGTGGCTTCGCGTCCTTGTAGCCGAGAACCGTGGTGATGAAGTACGCTGACGCGTCGCGCCAGTTGCCGTAGGACCCAGGCACCAGTAACTCAAATATAGTTGCTTTTGCTTTGGATGCTTCAGATGAGATAGGCCACTCATAAATCTCAATCTTCAGGCCGTCTGCCCTGGTCCTCGCGGCGCATTTCCGGCATCGTCCGGAGTGCCTCTCTTCTGTGTAGCCGTGATAAGTGTTGTAAACAAATTCCTCGGTTTCGCACTCAAGGCTGTTGTAACGGTCCATGCACTGTCGGTATTCGCGTTGGAGACTCGCCAGCTCTCCACACTTCTGCCTTCGCTTGATAGCCGCATCGGCCTCAAGCTTCGACAACGTAGTCTGCATGGGCTTGCATAGTTCGAAGTATCTTACAGCGAATGATGAGATATCCCCGAACTTTCGGTAGACGGAAGGCCTCCCCTCTGTTGCTGCGTGACGTCGTGATTTGACGTAACACTCGACACCCCAGAGACGTTGCAGATGGCCCTTCAGGGGAAGCACAAGGCATTGGAACTCTGTCAGATCGATCTCGGGGTCGTACTCTGGTAGCATAGGGTAGATCGAGCATGCGATTGTGTCGCATGCAACCCATAGCTCGGCGACCGTGAGGTACATTATGGACATGCCGATAGGTGTGCCAGCGTACACACTAGTAGCGGTGTTATGATAGGATACCATGATGCTGCGCAATCCTCCACAAGCCTCCCGATCGCGAAGATGGGTCTTAGCCCAGTCGATAAGGTGGTGTTTGACCCATTCCTCGAAGGTGCACAAACGGAAGTGTAAGCCTTCACCGGAATTCGAAAGATACTCACACTTTGGAAGCTCCGCGGATCTGAGTGCAGAATGCTTAGAGGCAGGCGTGAATGCAGACAGTGAGGCTTCTCGCTTCCGTGACTTTATACTGGACAAGAATGCGTCCAATCCCGACAGGTCGAGGTCGACATCGGACTTAGGCTTTAGACTGGCGATGGAGTTGACGTCGATATAGGCCTGAGAATTTTCGATCCTGTTTTGCCAATGCTTCTTGATGAACTCGTGGGCGTTTGACATGCTGTCATGGACCTGCACCGCCCAGTCTTGCCGCAGACATTGATCCTGCTTGAGTAGCTCGACCTTGCGCAGTCGTCGGGTCAATTTCGCCAAGACGAGATGAACGGTCTCGCTGCCCATATCCTCCCAGTATATCTTGACCAAATCGAGAATGCGTGCTAGCAAGAAGACCATGAAAGCTTTGTACAGACTATCAGCATCGCGTGTGTCGGATGACTTGCGAGTGAGGACAAGCTGTAGCGATACACGTAGTAAGAGCCACAGCGGAGATCGCCGCCATGGGGACAAGCAGTTATCCCAGAGGACCTCCTCGCGAGTGTTTTTGGTGATACGGTGCACATCCATCGGTTCGCCGAGAGCAGTGACGATGTTCATGAGAAAATCGGTCACGAGACCAGGACTCGAGGTATCGCGTTGTTCGTCCATGGCTTTCTTGTTCTTGGTAATTTGTGGCTGAAAGCCTGGAGCTGTTTGGGTCGTCATCGTAGCTATGGTCCTTGATATCGATTCGATCAGATCTGGGTCGATGCCGGCAATCGGTATCTTTGATGCGTGGCCTGGAAACGTCCGCACGAGTCGTCCTGAGCTCATTGCCGCGTCGTTCTTTGGAGACAATTCAAAGAACTCGAAGTTCACATGGCTTGAAGAACGACTGATAAGTATACCTGCGTTCTGTTCCTTGACTTCTATCGGCAAGGCACCGAGAGCTCCGCTGTTCGTCGCTTGGGCGAGAAGGGTTTGTAACTGAAGCTGGCTGGTGTTGCCATTCTGATCGCGAGTGGCTCGAAGGTTATCGACTGTCGCTTTGGCAGCGATCACAGACCCGACATGTTCAATATCGACGTGGAGCTTCAGAGATTCCAGAGCGTGAGTAGCAATCTCGAACAAGGCCACTTCGTGCGCAACGTTACGGTCGTCTTTTTGCGGTAGCTTGGGCGGAAGAACAACGTGGTTGACGGCATAGGCCGTAGCCGCCGCCGACACCATGGCGTAGGTATACACGCTCAGCGACTGTGTTCTGTAGTCGACTAGTCAGCAAACAGTGTCGCGCCCGAAGCAAAGCGCAATGTTCGACTGTATTGCACAGCGCCCATCGCAACTGAGCTGGAAATTCGCGATGTACCTTGAGATTCCAACTAATGTGAGCGTATATTGAGGAACTGAGTGTTCGTTCAATTACTGCTGTAAGATAGCAGCGATGTCGTAACAATTGCGACCAACGTGATGCGCGTCAAACGTGTCGCTGTTGTAGCGATTGCGGTGGTAGGGCAAGAAGAGCGAGAAGGCAGCCGCTGAAAACTCTGCAGCGCGTTCAAGAGGCGCGTACTAGAAGGAGGAGAAATTCTGTCGTGCGCGTTGTTGTTGTTGTGTACAAAATTAGGCAAACGCTGGTCTTCGTTCACTGCGCGAGCGCCGACTGCCCACCGCCGCAACATATGCGTCATCACCAGCTCAAAATCGCGCATATTCTTCCAGACCAGCGAGGCTGTTATGAGTTCACCTTCACCGGATCGCCTCCCAGTTGTAGTCTATAAATCCTCACCCAGGCACGCCGTGGAGATGAACAGCCCACCGCTTGACACAGCCAAGACAATACCTGGATCTCTGAGTGGTTTTAACAGCTCCAGTAACTTAGCTTCGATAGGAAGATATACTCGAAGGTGTGGAAGCCCCATGTCGTTTGTGATTCCATGCAATATCCGCCTACACTGACCGCCCAGGTGGTTAGTAGCACTCCAGATGACGCGACGACAACGCGGACAGCGACCAAAAATCTCGCAAATGACGGCCATATCGATCCAAACAAGTAGGGGTATCATGGGTGTTGTACGTTGACGTAGACTTTGTCGTCCAAGTGTCCCGTATTTTGGTACTCGTGTCAGCCCGCAAATCTATGTAGATGGCATGTCTCACTTCCAATAAGCTCAAGATCTTGGTGTACTGCATCGCTCTCGGTCGATGAATTGATAACATGGCTTGCATCCTTCTCTTGTCTGTGGCTATCATCTGAAAGACGTGTGCCCGCGCAAGGCCATGACGTCACGCGTTGCGGCGAAGCTGGGCCGCGCAGGACGTGTCTGCTGTGCCTCGTTGACATTGTCATGGAATTGATGCGTGCAGTGATGATGGAACGTCAGTATCGAGATGAACAGGATGGATGCTCGCATGCGAAGAGCGAAGGGTGGATGTGTCGTCAAAAGTAACCTCGGATTGAGCCTCCAAACGTCGCCAGCCCTGGCATCCGCGCGCTAACCGATCATCGACATCACGATTGGTTCCAACCTCATACAAGCAAAGGCTAACCACCGTAATAAGGTATGCTGCAGTCTACATCGTCATGAAATTGAACATTAACAACATCTCAATGTAACGTAGGCTTCTCACATTTTTCGGTTGAATTCTTCCAATGTCCCCTCCCGAGGTCATATCACGTGACCAGAAGCGACACATATACCTATCCATCTCTTACTACGGAGCAATAAGGTCTTCTCGTCAAACCCCTCATTATCTTCGATACCCGCTAGCACTACAAACGATGCGCTAGAATCAGAGCGTCTTGTTCACCTCCTCAGTCATGCAAACCTTGAGTTGCTATGCATCTCAGCCGTCATCCGTCAACCTTCGCCTCTCCACCAAACTCAACTCTTGAAACCTGCTCTACGATTCGCCACCGCCAGACGTACTGCTTTTTGGCTTCATACTGCATACCGTAGCCGTCATCTCCCCAGATTCGCGGAAAAACTCTCTCATACACAATATACGCACACTTGCAATGCTGACAATCCGCCTCGGACGCACAACAGCGCACTCGGTAAGAACAACGGACGATCGCATCTAGAAGGCCTCTGGGCGGATCTGTACCTTTTGATCGACAGGTCAAAAACAGGGCAGCTGCAGTAGGTGTAAAGTCGCAACCAAGATCAAGGAACAACGACCCGGTGTACGGTAGACCGTACCGATCAAATCCCAAGACTCATCTACAGAGACAAGACAACGATTGGCACACAGATCCTGCACCAACGCATCTGAAACCGATTCCGTGCGACAGTGACGGTGACTTGTCACCGTCAATCACACCTCTTAGAACCAGTACTTACGCCCTTGTCCCCTGGATGCCTCGCCTGTGTACATGGCCAACGCATCACAACGCCCCGCCTCTTACACCTCGTAATCCACGTATACCCATGCTCGCGATGTCAGGGTACTAGGCGAATTCGCAGCGTAAGGGGGAAAACAACTCAAAAAGTCGTTGTCGTGAATGACGATGAGGCTTCTCTGGACGCTGCACCGCAAAGCAGGTTATTGGGCAGGCGCGACCAGCGGATAGGAAGGCGCGACTCAACCCCGCTGCCGCCTCCTCGCTAACCCAACGCCCTATCGATTGCGCCAGAGACCGTGAGAAAGCCTCCCGCAGCATGTATGCACGCCACACGGCTCGACGTTTCTAATTTAGGTGTCTGGGTTCCTTAGCTAGGCAGTAACGGCGTAGCGCGCGGCGATGGATGTGTTGTTGGAAAATGGCGACAGTTTGTATCTCACCGGTCAAAGACTTTACGCCTTGCATACAGCATGTGTGTTCAGCAAGGGAAGCGCGTTCTAGAATGTGGAAGCCGAGGTATTGGAAATGTCTACATTGCGCTAGTTTGTGATCCATGAGAATATGTGAATTGGCTAGACATGTGAAATCGGCAGGGTGGGAAGAGACCGTTTCTCGAACCGCTCCTCTCTCTATCACGATACCCGTATCCAAGTAATTACTTCCCCAAGCTACAAGATTCCCCAATCTCCGCATCCCGCTCGAGCCCCCTCATCTTCCCTTCTCTCTCCTCATCAAAGAGATGAGATGAGAATCGGGCCGAAGGCGAAGAACGCACGTTTGCAAAAAAAACAAGACGGAGTAGAAAAATGGGAAATGTACCAAGACCTACTAAACCAAAACGCCACTCAACAAGGCAATTACGCGAGAAAAGAAGGAAGGAGGAAAACAGGGACACGGGTCGGGGCACGGCAGACGGTAGGTAGGAGCCGATTTTGCCGGTCCAGGAACCTGGTTGCGTTCTTCTGGCGATGGATTGCGAGATCGTACAGTACTTCGACGCCCTCACTTGTCATCGGAAGGTAGAGAGCGAAACCTGTAAAACTCATTCTCCATATTCCTTCCGAACCACGCGTTTTTCTCGTAACGTGAGACGTAACGCTCTCCTATCCCCGTTCACATCCTCCAGTCGAACCCCATCAAATTACACTAAGCGAAAACAAGTAAACATGCGTTCACACAAACTGGCCTATGTTCACCGCACAGTAGGAGCAGGAATTCAACAACTAAAGGCTAACCGGCTACCCAAGTTCCCGCGGCTTGACAACCCGCGTACCCAGTAGCTTCATGTACATGCCGTCCAGGCTGCCATTACCGAGACAGCCTTCCAGCCCTATGCATACACGTACACACATCCATTCATTCATGTAAGTAAGACTTGGTTTTCTTCTTCTCTGCCTGCTGCAGATTCTGTTTTGCCCCGTTGCATTCCGCCCAATCACCGACATGTGACGTCGGGCGTGGCTTACTTGCCTAGTTTCTTGATGTCAGCACACATCCTTCAGCTGAGTGGCGTGCCGCTTTGCTGACGACGGACGGCAACTGAAGACTTGGCTTCTTACCGTGCCTCGCCAATTCAAGCCACTGGCGTTCAGGGGGGTGAGAACTCTAATCCTTCGTCGTCTTGGGCCATTATAGCCGTAGTCTGTTGTAAGTAGAGTAGTCAAGCGAGTCACTCCCGTCAGATCGACCTCCACGCCGCAAAGACCATGTCAAATTTGAGAAGGATGGATTAGAGAAGAAGTTCGTGATTCTACTATATGCTATGCAATGAGCCCGTAATCCCTGGTACTCATGCTACGTGTCGATCGTTAGGTGTGCCCATTTTGTGTCTATAACGCCCCGATTATGATGATGGATACTACAACGCCGCTCGCATTCCTGGTATGCCAAGCAACCTGTTGCGGCGGAGAGAGTGAATTAAGAAAAAACAACAGTAGGTGGGCCCGTCCATGCTCCAAAACCGTACATGCAAAGTACCCAGTGCCAGAATGCTGCCCAGAAGAAGCCCCAGATGTTGCCAGATGATACAAAATTAAACGCTGTAAAAACATCAATGCAGTTGGTGCCCGCCCGTAGTGGTGGTAGGACGTGAACGCGGGAGAAGGCGATCAAGGTGGAAGCCGTAGCGAAATTATCATTATCGTAATGAAAAATTAGACTTGTTCGGTAAAGGCTGATTTCCGCGAATCACCGGATGTCCTCCTCTTCTTCTGGAGCTTCTTCGATGTTCTCCGCTCGGCAAGCTCAACCTCCTCAGGGGTGGGTGGCTGGAATGTGCCTGGCTTCAGGACCTGGAAGCCAGAGTTGACGGAGCGCAGGACGTGGTCATCGCGATCCTGGTTCTGCTCGGTGTTGACCTCGTACGGCACCTGATCGTAGCTGTATTGGTGGTGAGGGCCACGGGGTTCGTAGGTGTCGGGGTAGTAGGGAGCGTTGGGCGCGTAAGACTCGGTCAGGGGAACCGCTTGCCTTGCCTGGTTCGCTGCGTTGCCATCGTGACTCGGTCCGGCAGAAACGTCTTCAGCTTGGTCGGCGACAGTAGCTAGCGGAGGAGAAGGTGACTTCTGAGGCATGAAATAGTTAACACCATTGACCGAGGACACTTGGTTGTCCGCCACGCTGGCCCACTCTCCGCTATTACCTGGCTTGCGCACTCGAGGAGTGAGCTGTCCAGTCTCGGCGACGTGGGAGAGGCGATGGCTGCGGAGGAGTTCGAGGTCGGTCTTGGGGTCGATGGGTTGGTTGGGCCTGAAGTATGCGGACTCGTAGGTGCGGACGTCTTGGCCCGCTGCCATGTAGTCGGACTCGTCACTGGTGCGGCGGCTGGAGTTGCTTGCAGACTGTCCATGTTGGCCGAGGGGAGCTAAGGTAGTTAGCATAGTTCAAT